TGGTACCTCTGTTTTATGGTACCTCGTTTTATCATCCGGGAGGTCATGAAGGGTGAGCTGAGGCAGTAAATTGTGCAGCAACCAGTTATACATCCTCCGACGCCCTCCGGCGCCCGTTTTTCACACTTCCGGGCTAATGTTTGAACCCTTGGACCCACATTCTTGAACTTTAAACCACATATTTGTGAATGTACACACATGGAGACCCTAAAAAGTGGTGGCGGCCAGATAATGTTACTGACCTTTTGACCCCCTGGTCCCTCTTGCAAAGCTTATACAACAAGTTTGCTTAGAGGGAGATCCCTCCATACACGTGTATGGAGGGGGGAAGAGTTGGTGCCAGCTATCACAGCTGGCACAAAATATCTCCATAAAGTGGATGAACAGTGGTCGGCTGCCCAAAAATGCTATTTCGGCAAAAAACAGTGCCGACCGGCAACAAATTATGCCGACCGGCAAACAAAAGTGCCGATGGCAGAAAAAGACCAGCCGGTGGCCTCTAGCCACTGCCGGTGGTGTGTGGGGATGCCTCACAAGGCATTCCCTGCCCTTCCAAGGCAAAACACAAGTGTTTGGTGTGAAACCAGACACTAAACGGTCGAGTTCGGGGATCCTGAGGCAAGGCGCGCGAGCCGAGACCTCCGGGAACTCCAAACGAACACAAACATGGATTATCACCGAGTGTTCAAACGGTGACGTCCAAGTCTTGAGGACGGTCAAAAATGGAGCTCGATCCCCGTCATAATCAGCGAAGTGGCAATCTTGAAAGTATTAGCATCACAAACTTCTCTGAAAAGTACAATTCGGGTTGGATTCGCATCTAAACACTCATAGCCTCACTGAAATAAAAGTGCGAAAATAAATACAACTGAAAGGAGTTTTGTCAAACGGGGTTGCCAAGAATAAAACCTAACAAAAAGACTAAAAAACAAGACTAAAACTTGAATCTGGATAATTAGAGAGAGAAAAGAAAAAAAAAAGGCTTAAGACTCAATATCTAATTTTGAAGGTACAAACGACTACTGTCAACTTGCTCAACAATGTCTTTCAAAGAAAGGTCGGAATTCTGAAGCTTATTGGTGGGCATGAAGTCCTCATGTGTGTTAGGATAATTTGGCACTATAGTTGAGTATCGCATCCCATGGTGGTTAAAGGATCTAGCTGCCTACCAACAATTAAAGCAAAAATATTAGCAATATCATTTCTATGATCAATCATTAAGAATGATTTGTTCTAAACATGAGACCAGACCACACACTTGCTGCTTAAAATTTCAAGAAAGCCTTTTTTTGGTCAATTTTTCTGAGTGTAGTTTAACAATTAAATCATTTTTTTTTTTTTTTTGCAGTTTATGATTAAGGATCCAAGAAATCTAGAACTAGATGGTTTTGAACATCTTAAAAACTAAGTGGTTTCTTTGCTGTAGGAAGAGTGCACAACACAGTCTCCTACATAAGTGAGTCTCTTAGCAAGTCCAAAATTAATGTGCAGCAGCAGCAGAGTGCTACAGTCCTAATGCAAAAAATTAACATCGTGTGATTGATAAGTTGGTAAAAATATGTAAGATAAGATTGTAAGGTTTGTATGGGGTGACTAAAGGGGTAAGAAATGAAAGGAAAGGATTTTGGTGCCTATTTTTGGTGATGTGTACAGTACCGTGCTAAGTTTTGACTCTTTTGTGTGCAATATTTGTAGAATGATAAAGGGCTGACTTGAGGTGGTTTGAAGGGTTTATTGATATAAAATAAAGTTCAATCAAGATTTAGAAAGAAGGTTCAATCAGATCTGGTTAAGGGGGTATTGGATGCTAAAAGTGTAAAAAGATTTAAGAAAAATGAGGAAAACAAGATTCTAGGCACCACACCTAGATACCATATCGCAATTTGCATCACATGACCATACAATACCAAAAGAGTTACAAAAACTTCTACAAAATTCTCCAAAGCACATTCTCCATTGAATAGGAGAGTTCCTTAGGAGCTGAAGGTCGTACATCTCTACAAGTTTTGATCTGAAGGTCGTACATCCCTACAAGTTTTGTTTTATATATATGAGTGAGTTGTGTTTTATTATTATCAATGTCCGCCATGCTTGCTAGCATCCATAAATCTATTAAGAGTTCCTAATCGGAACCGAATTCTCTTAGGCCTTGTTTGATTAACATGATTAATAGTAAAATGATTAATAATTCTATGAATTAATGTAAAATTAGTGAGGTAAACATTTATTATGTATTCATTTTATTTTATTTTTCTTTCATATTTGAAATTATGATCCTAGCCCCTCTCAATGTTAAAAATTCGTTGATTTCGTCGAATTGAATGTCTGTTGTACATGTAATTTGATTAATAAAATTTACAATCAAATATAAGATTGTGAGTTCATGAATTTACAATTTCAATCATATGCTATAATTTTACTAATCAAACATGCTCTTATAGTTTCAAGGGAGATGAGGGTTGTCAAGGAAGAAGAGAGAGGGGGTCACCAATGAAGAAAAGGATTTGTAGTAGGGGATGGGAACCAAGGGAGGTGACTAAAGGAGGAGCTACCAAAGGAAGGTTGTTGGAGTGGGGGTCCAAAGGGTAGAGTTAGAATAATGGTGGTTGCTCGATAATCAACTTCCAATATTTTCTCTATAAAAAGATGACTAAAACAAGCCAAATTGTATGTTATTTTTTGGTCCTTGACCTTTTCCCGTTGATAATAATAACAATAATAATAATAATACAATAATAATTTTAATTCTACATTAAGCATCACTGTTAAAAGATATAGATGAAATATCATTTTGCCCTCTAAACTTTTTCGCATTTTCTAATTTGACCCGCAAATTTCGATTGATATCAATTTTACACTCAAACTTTCAAAAATTTGATAAATTTGACCCATATCATCACATTCCATCTACAATTGGACGAAATGTTGTTGACATAGCACCAAAGTTCATTTGAAATTTCATTTTACCCCCTCAAACTATACCTTAAAAATCAATTTGTCCCCCAAATTAATTAAAAATCAATTTGCCTCCCAAACTATACCTTAAAAATTAATTTGCCCTCCACATCAGCATATTCCGTCCAATTATTGACGAAATGTGATAATAGGGGCCAAATTGATCAAAATTTCGAAAGTTTAAATGTAAAATTGATATTAATTGAACTCCAGCTGCCATCTTTTCCTGTGATGAAATTATGGAAGTCAGTTGCACCACCGAAGATTAAGGCATTTGGATGGTTGGTGTGGCGGGATCGAATTGCAACTGCATACCTCCTCCTCAGGCGACAGATCATCCATATTCCCATCCAGTGTGCTTTCTGTGGTCATGAAGAAGAGTTATCAGTTCAGTTGCTCATTCACTGTTTTTCTTCTTGGAGGATTTGGTCTGAAATTGTCAATTGGTGGGGCATTATGTGGGTCTCTCCTGGTTCCATCCAAGAGTTGTTGGTCTGGTGGTTTGGTCAGAATAGAAAGCACTTGGGAAGATTTATTTGGGAGGCCATGCCTTCGGCAATTTTTTGGTCCATCTGGATTGCTAGGAATGAAAAAGTGTTTATTTCCAAGGAACCTATTTGGGTGGATTTGGTGGAGAACATTAAGATCAAGATTGTTTTTTGGTTAAAGTAATCGATAAGCGTGCCAGAACTCTCACTATTTGACTTTTTGTTTTGTTTACATGGCATCAAGGGCTACAAAGCTAGGATTTCAGGTTAATGTTTTGTTTTTTTGTCTGTTTTCTTCTTTGTATCTCTCCCGGCTGAATGCTCATCAGCCTTTTTTCGGCTTGTGCCCTGCACATGATTGGGTTCTCTAATAGGTGCCAACCTCCTTGGGATATATTTTTGAACTATGATGCTTCTGTGCCAAGCGTTTTTTGTACTTCGTTCTTATCAATAAAGTTCCACTTTCTTTGCTGATCAAAAAAAAAAAAAAAAAAAAAAAAGAGTCAAATTAAAAAATATGTGAAAGTTTGGAGTGGCAAAATGATATTTTCCGATACAACACAAATCATACGGCAAAACATTGAAGTCAATGTTTCAAAAAGAAAGCAGAGAGCAGTTTGATTGATTATACGGTTTCATCTAGAGAGCACTTTGTCTTCTCATCTCTAAAAACTCATCTTTAATCACCAGAGATCTGAATCCAGTGTAACTGTCACATTCTTTGATATATATATATATATATCCATCTTAAACTGGTGAAGGCAATTTTGAGCATTTAATTTCACAAAAAATCATACTTTGTTGTTTTGATGGAACGAAAAATCTTTTTGTTCACTTTTTTTTTTAATTTTATAAAGAAATGAATATACAAATATAAATTTTATTAAAAACGAATCTATAAAACTCAAATTATGAGATTTTAATTTTTTTAATACAAAATAAATTTGTTTATCAAAAAATGTTGTAATGGTCTTAAAAATTGGGGGAATTACATTCCAATGGCATAGAGGGTTTTTTTTTTTTTTTAAACACAAATATGACTTGCACCCACAACATTTCACTTTTATCCCATTTCAAAATCACTTGCACTCTACATGTTTTTGTATTTTTATTTTTATTTTTGTTATTGCGCTGTAATTCTCCCTTAAAAATTTAGCACATGAAAGTATTTCTAAATATAATTAAAAATTAAATTTATAGCTTGAGCCCTCATAAAAAAATAGTACGAATTAAAATTAAAAAAATATTTTTAAAAATTCTAAACTAAACAAACAGCTACTCGTAAAAGTCATGCCAGTGCCCAATTATGATGGTTAACACGGTTTCACGAGGCCACACTGTAATCATACCACACCACGTGTTGAACTCTATTGCCTAAGTCAAGTCGTCGGCGTGCTACATACATTGATCGCTACTTAGATTAACTCATGTTTCAATCAGAGACCACTCTTTGTTTCTTTCTCATCTCTCAAAAACTCATCTTTTTTTGTCATCTTCTAGTGTTAATGGTATATTCTTTCATATATTTAGGCTCCCAAATATCAAAGATATGTCTGGTTTAAGTGCTGATGATGCAATTTCAAGCGTTGTGATCGAATCATGCCATTGCTTTTCACTAGCTGAGATACAATCAATGACCAACAATTTTAATGAAGAACTAGTTATTGGGATGGACGGATTTGGTAAGGTATATAAGGGGTTCATTGATAACGGTGCTACAATTGTTGCCATAAAGAGGTTGAAAGCAGAGTCCAATCAAGGTGTAGAGGAGTTCTGGAATGAGGTCAAGATGTTGTCTAACCTCCGACACACTCATCTTGTTGCTCTGATCGGCCAATGCAACGACTGCCAAGAAATGATCCTTGTTTACGAATATGCGGCTCGTGGGACCCTAGCCAATCATCTCTATAATAGAAGTAGAAACCAAACTGAAATTAGTACTTTTCATCTCACATGGGAGTGGAGGCTCAACATTTGCATTGGTGCAGCACGAGGGTTAGACTACATTCATACTGGTACTGATCAAAGTTACATACACCGAGATGTGAAGACTACAAACATTCTGTTGGACAAGAATTGGGTAGCCAAGATTTCAGATTTTGGGCTGTCTAAAGGCACTACAAGCAATTCAGCAACCCACGTTAGCACGAGAGTCAAAGGTACATTTGGGTATTTGGATCCATATTATTTCTATACCCACAGACTAACCAAGAAATCTGATGTGTATGCCTTTGGTGTGGTGTTGTTGGAAATGCTTTGTGGGAGGCCGCCTGTGGATGAAAGACTCGAGGAGGAGGAAATTAGTTTAATCCTTTGGGCTCAACAATGCATTAAAAAGGGAAATGTTGATCGAATCATTGGTCCCTCATTAAGTGGACAAATAACACCACAGAGTCTAAAGTATTTTGTAGAAGTTTCCTACAATTGTTTACATAATCGTCCAAAGGAAAGGCCTACAATGGCTGAAGTGGTGGGGACTCTTGATCTCGCATTGGTGTCACAACGTAAAGGAAGAACAGAAGGAATAATTGGAAAAGTATTTAAGGGTATTGCAATTATGTCAAAAGGTATGAATCATTGGTGGAGGGAGAAAAATGAAGACAGTTCTCATAGTGGACTGTCAAAGGATTTGTTTTGGGAACCACTTTCAGATGGTTTTACCCGATCACACTGTCATTTCTCACTTGATGAGATTCGAGCGGCTACAAATGATTTCAATGAGGGACTTTTGATTGGAAATGATATGTTTAAAAATGTGTACAAAGGTTGCGTAGATGGGGAATCTAGTATTGTTATGATCAAAAGGTTCAGTGCCTTGGCATTGCGAAATTGGAAAGAAGTTAGGGCTAACATTGAGGTACACCCCTGCTCGAGAATCACCCCACATAGGCCCCGTTTGGTAGAGATGTGGGAAAATAATTATAAATTATAGCTTAACAGATTATAACTTACAACTGTGGACATAAGCTGGTAACCTGTTTGGTGCAACTGTGGGATTATGGATTTAAGCAGCAGGGTAGTGTTTGGTAAATAAGCTGTAAAATAACTTTTTCTGTATAATTATCATTTTTGCCCTTATAAGATATAAAATTTGTAATTTCATTTATAATACATTTTTTTTCTTTTTCTTTTTCATTTTATTTTCTTTTCTTTTCTTTTTCACCTTATTTTCTTTTCTTTTTTTTTAATTTTTTTTTCTTCTCTTCTTTCTTTGTTAATTTTTTTTAATTGATTAATTCATTAAAATTAATATTCATGATCTAATTTATATTAATGTTGTGATTTCATTACCTATTATCTTTCATATATTCATTATCAAAATTATTAATTTTTTCTTCTCTTCTTTCTCTGTATTTCTTTTCTTTATTATTATTATTAATTGTGATTTTAGTATCAAAATTATCAATTGCTCATCAATTATTAAAATTAGTATCAATTATTACATCAATTATTATTATTATTATTATTTATTATTATTATTCATTATAATTATTTTTAGTAATATTTCATTTTTTCATTTTTAGTAATTCATTTATTCATTTGACAAATCCTTTCATTTTTTTCAATTTATATCATTTTTTTTAGTGATATTTCATTAATAGTTTCAGTTTTAATTTTAAAAAATTATTTCATTAATAAAGTTAATATAATTAGTATTACAAAAATTATCGTTTCATTAATAGTATCAATTTAGTATAAAATTAATGGCTTAATTAGTATCAATTAATACTAAAATTATTAATAGTATCAATTATTTCAATTAATGTTGTGATGTCATTACATATTATTTTATTTCAATTAATTATGTGATGTCATTACATATTATTTTAATTAATATTGTAATATCAATTTATTTCAATTAATGTTGTGATGTCATTACATATTATTTTATTTCAATTAATTCTGTTTAATTTTGTATTAATTCTGTGTAATGTTGTAATATCAATTTAAATTAATTCTGTTTTTATTAAAAAAATTTCATTACAGTTAACTTTTTTTTGAAATAAATTGTTTTTCATTTTATTTTCAAAAGTAAATATTAATTGAAATAAATTGTGTTAAATATTAATTCTTAAAAGTATTTTTTTTCATATTAAATATTAATTTTGTTTTTATTAATTCTGAAAAGTAATTTTTTCTTTTTTAATTAATATTAATATTGATTTTTTTTTCTTTTTTTTCAATTTTTTTTCAAGGGTTTGAAAACCCTAGCTCTGGTAGCACAGCGACGACGGTCGGCGCTAGGGTTTGAGATCGCGATGGTTCAGATCGACGACGACGTTGGTTCAGGTCAACGACGACGTTAGTTCAGATCGCAATGGCGACGAACCAACGTCAGAGAGAGAGACAGACAGACAGAGCTTCGCGATTACGATGGCGACGAATCAAGGCTTCGTAACGAACTAACGCCAGAGAAAGAGAGACAGAGAGATAATAGAGCGACAAACCAACGCTAGAAAGAGAGAAAGAGAGATAGAGAGAGAAATCATCGGAAATTGCCAGAAATTGCCAGAAATCAACGCAGAAAATCGCCTCTCAGGCCGCCGGAAATCGCCTCACGCTCTCTCTCTCTCTCTCTCTGCAAACGTGAACAGTGTTCAATTGTGAAGTTTATATATTGGCAGTTTGGTAATTTTTCAATTTTTGAAGGGGCATTTAAGTCATTTTGCCCTTCCACACCCAACTATGCGCATAAGCTAAAAAATTAAGCACCTCTGAGGCAGCTTACAACTTTTAGCTCAAAATCAATTAATTTAAGCTATAATCTCTCTCTCATAAGCTCAACCAAACACTCCAAAATGGCTTATTTTAAGCCAAAAGCTACTTTAAGCTGAAATTAAGTGCTACCAAACAGGCCCATAGTCTCTTTGATTGGATTTTGCAATGCGAAACCGGAGTTAATTGGCGTGTATGATTACAAGGAGAATGGATCCTTGGAAGATCATTTATTCAACACAAACAACGATACACTTCTGTGGAAACAACGACTCAGGATTTGCTTTGGTGTAGCACAAGGACTACAACATCTCCATGAGAATACGAAGCAAAAAGTCATCCACTGTGACATAACGCCACCTAATATTCTGTTGAACAAGAATTGGGTTGCAAAACTTACTCATTTCGGGTTTTCCAAATTACTACCCAAGGACACTACATATATACCACTAATGGATTCAATGATCTGCGGATATATGGCACCAGAGTACTTAATGCATGGAAAATTGACAACAAAATCTGACATATATTCATTTGGTATGGTGTTGTTGTCAATGTTGTGTGCTAAGAAGCCATATTATGAGCTAGATTGGGATCATAAGTATAGCGACCCCGGTTTTACCCCGACCTTTATTGTGTTCCGGACTCGGGTTCCGTGATTAAATATTGTTGTTTATGTCTTGTTTCCTCCCTTTAATTCTTTGAATTTGAGTTTTGGGACTTGTTGGACGAATTTGGAACAGGTTGGTTGTCTTTTGGTACAAATGGTTGTTGCTTAGATTTTGGTCTCTTCGCTCAAGCGAGCCCTGTGAAAATGTTTCTTCGCTCGAGTGAGGCTTCTTGCGCTCGAGTGTGCGTCTGTGTTGGGTACCAGACCCGAAGCTTCACATTCTACACTCAAGTGACGCTTCTTGCGCTCGAGCGAGCCTGGCGTACATCAGTACACAGCAGTGCCGTTTTGCTGCATTTTTGATCTCCTTTTTCACTCTCAAACCCTAAATCAACAGCTTCTCTCCCTAGAAGCCACCTTCTTTCTAAGGTTTCATCTAAATCCATTGTGTTCTTGACCCTAGCGTCTTTGAGAATAAGGTAGAAAGCTTCAAGAGCTTCGTGTTGATCCAAGTAAGAGTTGGTTTCGTCACCTTTGGAGTTTCGATCTTGTTTGCTCGTCTTCTCTTCTTGAGGTAGGGATTTTCTACACTATAATATGGTTTTTAGCTTAGTTATTTGCTATTGTGTATAGATGATGAGATTTGGTTGTGGTTTGGACAAATCTAGGATTTGGGTGCGAAATGAAAAGAGGGGTATTTGATGAATATGAGGTAAATGAGTATGATGCTTGAACATAAGATCATGTTGTGCCAAAATAGTTGATTTTGGTGTTTGGGTTGATATTTGGAAAGAGGGAAATTTTTTCCTAATTTTGATTAAATTATTATTTTGTATAAATAATTGGGATTAGCATTGAAAATGTGAAATTGGAAGGTTATGGGTATAGATAGTGAAATTAGATATGTATTATCTTATACTTTTGGAAGTTGTGAATAAACTATTTATCTTGAGATTGAATATCTATTTAGACATAAATGTATTGGGCTATCGGTGGAGGATAACTATGATTGTTGTAGAAATTGCATGAGGATTAGGCGATTTAATGCTAATCAAATGTTGGTTGTCATTGCATATGATTATGTTTATAAATACATTGTATATGTATGTTTATTTGGGAGGAGAAAGGGGATGGATTCCGCTGAAAGCAAGTTGGCCAGAGTGTCTTGGGTGAAAGACCCGAAATTATATATATACTTGGGTTTCGATTCCCACGGACGAAATATCCGTAAAATGATATATTGGAGAGAATACATGGGTGTTGATTCCCTCAAACGAAATATCTGTAAAATGGCAGATTTGAAGTGTTTATGTGTGTTTTGCATAATTGGAAAACCATTGAGTTATAGTCTCATTTTGGTTGTGGAAAGATAATGAATTTAACTCATGAATTGAGTAGCATATATGAACTGGAAATGAATTGAAAGAAAATGGAATAAGATTGGTCTTAGTGGCATATGGATATGCAGGCCTAGTGGGTGCTTCCATATCGGTATTGTTTATGTACGTGGTATTTATACCTTTGCTAAACCTTATATATTGTATTAGATTATTTCTACTGGGCTGTTGGCTCACCCTATATGGGAATATCATTTTCAGGTGCAGGTGAGATGTTTCCTCCAAGGCAATAGCGTGGATGGACTTTCGGGAAGCAAGAGCTTCTTAATTATGTTTTGTTGTCTGTATGTTTGTTATTTGTAAAGCCAATGGCTTAAGATGCAATGAGCGAGACTCAATTTGTGTAACTAAGCAATGACTTGGAAAGATGTACACCTACGTGGCATTTAATTGTTTGTTAAACACTAAACTTTAATATATGAAAGTATGTTGTTTCTCATATTTGTTCTGCATATGAGTTATCTTTATTGTATTATTTTGAGGGCATTAGAATAAGTCGTTAGTATGTCAGTCCATGAATAGTATCAAAACCATTGATCAAATCATTGATCCAAATCTGATTGGGAAAATAGCACCATAATGCTTGATGGAATTTGTCAACATTGCATTAAGTTGTCTACTTGATCAGGCCAACCGGCGACCCTCGATAGACAATGTGGTAAGGAGCCTCCAATCTGCATTACTATAGGAGGCTTGGGAGAATCATTTTGAGATTGGTGCTGAGTTACCTGTGATTGACCTTTATTGTTGTAGCGTCTTCTCTATTGATGGTTACTTGACAATTGGTGGGTTGAGCCTTTTTCCATCACATATTGATGATGATCTTGCTTCAAATCTTGATGAAGGATCAAATGGGTACCTGTCAGATCCAGATTTTGACAAATTAATTCGTTAATTAAGAAGCTTTTGGATTTGACTCTTTTATACTACATGTACGTCTTTCCATTTTATTTGTTCGGAGTCTTCTTCTTTGTTAATTGTTATGTTTGTCATATGTTGGTGTATATATGTTGGACAATTTTTCGTAGTTGGATGGTTGGACTGATGAGATTTTCTCTTGTTGAATTTTTATATTCTCCTGAATGTGAATGTGAATGTGTTGGGATTTCCTTCATGGTTAATTGTTTAATTTGATAGGGTGATGATCCACAAGGGTATATCTTCTACAAATGAAAGAAAAAAAAACAAAAACAAAAAAATCACATAAATATCTATTTGGGTTGGCTCTTTCTTTTTCTTTTTTTTCCTTTATTCATTTATTTATTTATTTATTTTTTATA